AAATTCCTCAGGCAATCATGGCTCTCCATAACTTCCAATTTTAAAAATGTTTTTTTCTTTCTTTTCTTTCTTTTTCCCCGTCCTACTTTCAACATGACGTTTATTTAGATGTGATTCTCCAATCTTTTTTTTCCTCTTTTTAAGAGCAGAAATTTCACCTATCTTGTAGTTCTTATTTTCCTTAAGACTTCTTTGTTGCCCACTTGTTCTGTAAATGATATTCTCAGCATTTGTTGATCCAATGACAATGTCAATTCTCAATTCACTTTCATTGTGCAAAACATTTTGAAAATGTCCTTTTAGTTCACTAATTGTGACAGAATGATCAGACTTTTATTTTTTTCTCTCAGTTTTATAGATATTTGCAGTTTTTCTGAAATTAATTCCAACCTATTTTTTTTTATCATTATGAAATTTGTTTGGCTTTGAAAAATATTTTCATCATCCAATGTTGATTCCATCTTCTTCATTTTATGAACACTATTGTCTCAAGATGTCGATTTTTTTTCCCTATGCACAAAAATTATTTATGCGACGGTTGATTACTCCAAAAGAGGTGGAAAGAAAAACATTTTAATGCTTAGTTTGCATCCATAAATATCACTAGTGAGCAAATCAAAGTCTGTAGTGAATGAAACAAGATCTAGATTTAAAATTCAAATACATGGTCATGGACTAGGAACGACTTTGTTGAATGGACATTAGAAAAAAAACTAACATGAATTTACAAACTTTTTTCTTAAAAATAAAAAAAAAGTAAATCCAAAACAAAACTATTAGTTTTTTTCACACCTTGTTGCAAAATGATTTTTGGCCCTAGAAAACTTCCTGGAAAATTTTAAAACAAAATTCAAATAATTAGAAATTTTGAAAACAAATTCATTCTTTTTCTTTGTTTTAATTCCTCCATGCCTTTTGTGTTTCTGTTTAACTGTTCGTTAATAGACTGTTAAGCTGCAAATCAAATCATCATCATTCATCAAATGATCATTTCAGTCCCCACAAACAAAATAAAAGGCGTAAAAGATGCCTCTGCAGCTGAACATCTGGCCAGTTCGATCCACAAATCTGGTTTGTATAAATGTCAGCTTTTCCTTCATGCTCTACATGTCTCTTACACAAGTAGATTTTGATAAATGAGATCTCATTTTTAGAATGAGATCACTCCAACAAAGACATTCACCTTGGTCAAGACGGACAGGCGGCATACATACACACATGGGACAACCTCCACCCTGGTTGTTGATGTCTTGCAAAGATATGAACACCCCATTTTGATACCTTGTCATCAACCAAAATACATTAATTTTATTTGTAAAGACCTAAATTGATTTATATGTCTATAAATTTTGTTGACTTTTATAATTTCATTTTCGGGTTTTTTTTAATCTTTTATGGTGGGCTATCTAATTAATAACCAATGAAATCAAACGTAATCTGGTTTAACATGGTACGATAACACATTGAGATAACTGATAACCCACTATATTTTTTCAATCTGCCTGTTGCATTGAATAAATGGTTAAATCTAACAAAACAAGTGTGCAGATATATTCATTTTAAATTGTCTGACAAAAGAAAAGAAGGAACATGGCTTGTGATGTGTGTCAATTGACCCAGCGTTCAATGTATTCTTTCGACCTCAGTTTCTTTCCTCACTAATCTTATAGTAGGCATGGCATATCCTCTTTAGAGGGGAGGATACCACAACAGCTTTTTTGTTCTGTTGTGGAGTTTTTTCTCAGTGGAGGCTTGTATTTTATAAATCGGTCCTAAATTAGGTTCGACGTACAAAAACGTTAGGAACTTGATATAAAAGTTAATGATGCAGAGCAATCTTGTTGTGGTGGCTGGTACTTTTTTCGTATTCGACTAACTGTGGACTACTGTCGTCCGACATCGACCAACCCTCTTTTCTCTTACTACTACTACTTATATTAGGTGGGAGAGTCTATTAACTATAGAATAGGTGTGTTTCACCATAACACCCCCCTAAAACTTTACCCCGTAGGAGTAAAAACAGTTTTTCTTTATTTATTTTTACAGGAAATATGAAGGAAAAAAAAAAAAAATTTTTTTTTTTTAATACATCATAGTGTATCTCCTACGTTTTTTTTTTCACTTTTTAAATGATCAGTTGCCTTTCTTTTTTTTTCTTCTGGATTATTTTTTACCTTTAAATAAAATCGTTGCAGGCGTTGTTAGATCAAACGTTATTGAAAATCACCTCCATCGGTTTTTTTTCGTGGGACCGCTGTCAACCACGTCTGAAAAACGTCGTCTGATCTGGTTAATGTACCGTCTGCTCGTTTTTTTTGCCTTTCATCCAGTACATCATATTGCCAATCCGCTTTTCTATTTTTTTTTTTTATATATATGTTACCAGAAACAATCTTCCACTTTGAAACTTAACCTGGAGTCACAGTTTTATGTAGGTTCTTCTTGTGGTTCTATTTGTTCACCTCTAGCTTCCCTTTTGTTGATCTTGTTTCTTAACTTTTTCTGTGGTGACTTCAGTTGACTTAAATCATTTAATAATACTGCATGTCCTTGGCTGCGGGTAACTCGCTCCCAGTTTTTTTCGGTGTCGGCTTCATTTTTACTTTCTGGGTTTTTTTTTTTCACGTATATTGTCGGTGTTGCCCATTCACTATATTCAACTTTTTAAATAAAAACGGTTTTCTCTAATCTGTCCAATTCTTTATCTATCTGTTCAATTGAGGCAAACAGCACATTCCTTTTCTTTTTGAATACCGCCTGAGCGTTTTTTTTTTTGGGCTGGAATTTTGCCTCCATCTTGGTACACCTTCCTAAACCTGGAGAAAAAACAGTAGGAAAATTTCCTTAAGTTTCTTTACTAATTTTTTGGCTTCATAGTTTAAATTTTCAACCTTGTCACAGAAAGAATTTATCGGTAGATCCCATAATTGAAATTCTGTTATCCAATTCGTACCAAGTAAGTTCGTGTTATTTTCTATGACAAATAGTTTAGCTTTTCGCGTTTTTTTTTATTTAACGTGACGTTTGTAACAAATTCTCCAATAAATTGTATTTTTTTCTCCCGTCACTGACCTCGCGATTTTCTTTGTCTTCATCAAATTGGTTTCCCCAATTTCTTCCACGTATGCAAATTTATGTTAGATAGATCTGAGCCAGTGTCAAGTTGCATTTTTATATTTTTATTACTTATTTCGACGGTAACAAATTTTCTGGTTATTCCATCTTCTACCTCGTTGGACTTTAATTTTCTTATTTTATTGTCTTTATTTGTTGACCTGCAATGCGTGCTTTTATGACCCACTCTTTTACAGTTGAAACACTTTTTATTTCTAAAATCGCAATGTCTGTACCAGTGTAGTTCACCGCAAGCAAAACATGGCTTTGGGAATTTTTGTTTATTTTTCTCTGGTATTTCACTTTTTGCTTGATAATCCACAATTTTAGAATTCTTTTCGGTAGACTGACTTTCTTTTTTGTAGCGTATTTTCCCTACATGCGAAACGCCAGACTGTTCTATCTCTTTTTAATCTTTCTTTACTCTAAAATATCTTGTGCAATCTTCTGCCAATTTGTGTACCGTAATACTTGGATCGCTTTCCAATATTGCCAGTACTAATTTTATCAACTCTGCGTCTCTTTCCGATACCAGCCCCTGAACAAACACCAAGCACTTAAAATTGTCTGCACTTAACTCTGCCAGCTTGAATTCTTCACAATGCTTATTCACATTAGCTGCGTACGTTATATAGTCTTGTTCGTCATCTTTCATTAGATTCAAACATTTCCACCTCTTTTTACTAAATAATTCACTTAATATATTTACCGCCTCGGTAAATGTCAACACGCTAGTTTTTTTTGGTAAAATGTAGTTTACCAATTTGTTATGCTCAGCAGTTCCTAATTTGCTTAAAAGAAGCCTAACCTTCTTTCCTTCAGACCACGAGTGGCAGTCCTCGTTATACACGTCCGTATATTTTTTATAATACTCTTCAAAAGTTATCTCTTTATCTGGACTGTACGTGAATATTTCAAATGAATTCCATATTGTATTCTCTGGGAAAGAATCCTTTTGTAGACTTTTCTCTTTCCTCTTCTCGGTTATTTTCAGCATTTTGTTTTGAAACTCCTTATGAATCTGTTCCATTTTTTTGTTGGAATTGCATTTGTCTATTGAAAGTTTTCCCCTGTAGCTGCATCTGGAATGTTTTTTGTTGCTCTAATACTGTCATCTGTTGTTCCGACTGGAACTTAAAGAATTCCCGGAATATTTTTTCCTCCATTTCTCCAAAAGTTTCGCAATGCCTAAATTGTAAAGGGGGGGGGGTCCTACGAATTTGCAATTCGTGACCTATTTGAGCAAACTGTATTATCGGGAAAAATTTTTTTTTTCTTCCTCTGTATGAGTGCGAATCCTCGTCGCCAAACTTGTTGTGGAGTTATTTCGCAGTGGAGGTTTGTATTTGTACTAAATCGGCCCTAAATAGTTCGACGTACAGAATTGATATAATAGGTATTACGCAGAGTAATCTTGCTGTGGTCGCTGACTACTTTCGTATTCGACTAACTGTCGACTGACATCGACTGACCCTCGTTTCCCTTACTACTCCTACTTATATTAGGTGGGAGAGTCTATTAGCTATAGAATAGGTGTGTTTCACCATAACAACATCTTCAATACGTAGCTCATATATTAGATTGCCCTTTTTGCTAACGATCATACATACATAAACAGTACTTCTTACTCTTTTGTAAACTGTTTTATGTATAAGATATATGACACGAAGAAAACTTTTGTCAGTAGTTCATTTTCTAGTTAAAACGAACCATTACTTAGTTTTCTATATTGTGATTTACTTCACTAATATTTTGGTAATCCGTATGGTAATCCCAAGGAGGATGAAATCCAGAGCTCAATGTTAAATCAAGGAAAATTCAATGAAAACAGAAAAATGGTTATAATTTATTTTCCCAGGGAATTTCTTTCCCCTGGCTCATCAGACTACACTTCCAAGGGTAAAAGATAGATAGATAGATAGATAGATAGATAGATAGATAGATTTTATCGCTCACGTGTGTGGGATAATATGTATATTTATTAATATATACTTATTAGATCTATTTTATTACATCGAGCACTCTTTTAGCAAATTTTATTAAATACAACGGATATTTTGTGTCGACTAATCTTATTAATCGACTTTACCAAATAATGAGTAATCCATCCACCTTATCTGAGAGGGGCTATTCCTTAATAATTAATCGTCACAAAATGTCTGTTGTCATTAACACACACACACACATACTTATACAGACAGGCACGCACACACACATACACATACATATATATATGTGTAAAATATCTACGTGTATATATATATATATATATATATAAATATATATATATATGAAAATTTTATATATATTATTTACATATTATATTCCTATTGGAAAGCGCTCAATATCAGTGATAGAGCTAACATATTTACAAACTACATCAATTCAACTATATATATATATATATATATATATATATATAGTTGGATTTATGTGACCTGGGGGGTTTCACGCCGTTGAAGTTTAAATACAGTAAATTCGACCTTGCTAACCGAACGGTCCTCTGTGGACAAATCGGTTAAAGGCACGTCAAGCTAAATGACGGTTCCGTATAGGATACAGGTTCGAATCCTGTCGGAGGACGAATATTTTCTGTGGAAATTTCTCGGACATTCAGGCCGGTAAATGTTGTTTAATATTGTTTGTTATAAACAGAGCATTTACTTAAATATTTGTATCTATAAAAAGAATGTATAAACATAAAAATCTCTTAAAATAATTGTCGGGCTTTGTCCATTTCAATATATATATATATATATATATGAGTTTCCTTAAAAACGACTGACAATGTAATAGGCTGTCGTTTTTAACGAAACTTATATAAAAGAATGATTGCTTCCTAAATATACAGTTATATATATATATATATATGTGTGTGTGTGTGTGTGTGCGTGCGAGTGCGCGCCCGTGTGTGTGCGTCAAGCGCCTGAAGATTGCGTTGTGTCTGAAACTCCGTGAGGAATAATACGTATATTTATAAATATATACTTACATTTTTATTCCATGTTTGATTAACAGCAACGCTATATGGATATACGTATATATATATATATATATATATATATATATATATATATATATATATATATATATATATATATATATATATATATATATATATATATATATATATATATATATATATATATATTATATGGAAGAGGAAAGCGGTTATACTAATGATAACTGCGTGGTGTCTGTTAGTTTCACACCTCAGTTGACCATCAGTGGCTTTTATGCACTGGGCGTCCCAAAAATATAATTCTCTTTAAATGCCAATAAATAGTGTCTGTTCACTCGCAAATAAGATTAATGTTTACCATTAAGAAATAATTAACGCTTTAAATTAAATATAATTAAAAATAATCAACTCTTTAAATTAATTATTAAATGAAATTAAATACATACTTATAAATATTCAAACTGGTGACTATGTCAACAAATGATTACTTTTTTTCTGAGTCACCGTTTATATCACACTTTGTTGATTATTTCGATACTTTTACAGATGCCACGCCTTTTCTGCAAGTAACGCAAATCTGTTTTTTCATCTTTCAGGGGGCCCTCAATATAGCGCGCACCGAGACATTTTGAGAAGTTACCCTGTTTTCTGTGCATCGTTTCCACCTAAAAATTATTGTGGTTACATAAATATTAAATTGTCTGACAATAAATTCCTAACCTTTTCCTGCCAACTATTATCGAACCGTCTTGTCTCTGAGAGCATTGTGGGTATCGTTTTATTTGGAGCGCGGCAGTGACACTATTACCATGATGTACCATTCAAAGATACTGAATTTAAATGTCTTATATTTAATTATGTTAGTCAAAAGCAAGAAGACCACTTCAGATACGGGGAATTAAGTCCGCTTCTTTTGTGTATCGTCTGTGGGGGTGGTCCTTTGCGTCATGTCGCCCACGTGTAACATTATCAAGAGCTGTTTTCAATACAGATTATAATTATGAGAAACGAAACAAAGCGGCATACGCACTGCTGTCTTTTATTTCAATTCATTACAGAAATCTTCATTTAGTCTGCTTTATCCGAACAATAGTGAGTATTCTTATTTAATGTACAACACAACATGTGATATAACAAAAACGTAGTCTGTATCTACTATGTCTCAGGAATTCAATATACAAGGTGCGATGCGTAAATTGTCGTCATTTTATATTTTATTCAATTTCGCGCATGCGTGTTGTTTGTTTTTGATTTTGCCGACTGCTCAGTATAGTAGGGTCAGTTGGGCACTCTATGTGAGAAAAAGATCACCATGACACAATTCACACCGCCAGAAATTTGGAAATGGTATGATGCACTGTTTGGCGTTCGCGGCTGAAGCTCCAACCCGAACATTTCAAAGTGTTTGAATGTCAGTGAAGAGAATTCGGAAAGAGGAATAAATTTATATATATATATATATATATATATATATATATATATATATATATATATTAAAGACATTTTTATGTTTAACATTCTTTTATAGATACAAGTATTTAACTAAATGCTCTGTTTATAATAAACAGTATTAAATAACATTTACCGGCCTGAATGTCCGGGAAATTTTCATAGAAAATATTCGTCTTTTGACAGGATTCGAACCTGCATCCTATACGGAACCGTCATTTACGCTGTTTATGGTGTTTAGATTGTCGGACTTTGTCCAATTCTTAATATATATATATATATATATATATATATATATATATATATATATATATATATATATATATATATATATATATATATATATATATATATATATATGTGTGTGTGTGTGTGTGTGTGTAAATTGTCGCCATTTTATATTTTAATTTCGCGCATGCGCATTGTTTGTTTGTCTGTCTGTGGGCACCGTCTGTGAGAAAAAAGACCTTCATGGCGGAATTCACTCGGCTAGAAAATTGGCAGTGGTATGCGCCGTAAGCTCAAATGCGAACATTTCAGAGTGTTTGGGTGTTAATCTAAGTACAGTGCATAGGATTCAGAGGGAGTTGGATGATATATCCAGTCAACATCATGGTGTTTGGATTGATTACTTGTGATGGCCACGTTAGGCCTCCATACATCTTCCCACAGGACCTCAGACTCAACATGGAGGCCTACATCAAATGCCTTGAGGAGCTAGTGCTGCTATGGGTCAAGAGGGTGGCTGTCTGCAACAGAAAATTTCTGCGACCACATCACCTCTTACATCTGGCCACCTAACTCCCCAGATTGCAACCCTTTGATTATGTGTGGGGCGCAGTTGAAAGAGATATCAACAAAATTCAACAATTAAGGCAAGGATTATGGGAGCATTCACCAATTTAAAAAAAAGAGTCCGTCCAGAAGAGTTGCAGGAGATTCCGAAGTCGTCTGGAGGCCGTAGTTGACGCCAATAGCGATTTTATTAAATTAATTTACTCTTTACTATTTCAAGATAGTTTTGTGTAATTTTGGTAAATATGTCTGTTAAAACGAGATGTCAGCGTTATTTTTCATATTTTGCGTAATTTAGGCGACAATTTACCCATCGCACGCTGTATTTGAATGACAAGGCTTAAGGTCAGATTACGTTGAAACACCGCTTCCCCGAAGGTCACCGAAGTCGAGCCTGGTCAGTACCAAGATAGGTGACCGATTGGGAATACCAGTTGCTGTAAGCATTGATGTGCGATGGTGTATAGATAATGGTTCGGAATTGGGAATCTAAGAGCAGAGTTCCAAGTCAAGTCGGGTTCATTATATATACTTTTACTTGATAAAAGTATGAATCTATCTCTCCACCAACACTAGCTAGGGATTAGTACTTCGTCTTCTATGCAGCGTGTCTTTTCACGATGTTAGTGACTATGGCTCTCGACAATTTCCTGTCATTTGCAGAACTTCATATGTTTTGTATTTTCGTTGTCTCTCCTAATCCTTGTTCCACCATTCAAACTCAACTCGTCAGGCTCAAACCTGCTCGTCAGGCTATAAATTCTTTCCCTCTCTCCATCTTGCCTTCGATCTGTCCTGTGAGTAACAAATTCTCGAAGCCCTCTTTCCTCATTATGCGTCCTAGAAATTTCTACTGTCTCTTTCAAATGTTAAGTATGTTCTTTTTTTTTTTACCATTTTCTCTAAAGTTTCATTGTTGCTCGCATGTTCGGTCCATGTAATCTCATCATGCTTCTGTAGAAAAACACTTCTGTGAGGAGATCGTCCCCAAAATTCTTACAATCTAAAACTATTTTCTGGCTTTAAAAAAAGCTGCAAAAGATTGATAAGCCGTAAAAAGCAAATCAGTCAATGAAAAATTTCAATGGTACAGCACAGAAATAACGTCACTCTTATGTTAAATATAAAAGAATACCCAACAGATCTAAGAGGCAACAATGTTTAAGAATATTTGGCTGGAAATATTTAGAACTGCTACTTTGTGAAAAACGACTCCCACGTGGATGCTTCCCGGAAGTTTACAATTTCAACCTCTTCAAGTATCAATAATTATCAATCCTCTTTATCACCATGATCTTACGCACGTAATTCAGCCACCTGCTACCATGAGTGGCTTTCGAGTCTTGTATTGGGTTAATTTTAGTATAAAAACATTAGTTGTCTAAAATATTACAAAGAAGCGGGTAAAATATTTTGTAATTATGTTTATCACGAGGAGGAAACCCGTAACACATTAGGGTCTAAGTGGGGGGGGGGCACATGAAGTGCAGCTGCAGTAGAAGTGGTATGTTTTTGGCAAGATAGCCCGACGGAGCCCAACCCTCTCCATGCTGGTTTTGAATTCATAATTTTTCCTTCTCATAGACCGGGTGCCACCCAAGGCTATAAGACCCAGTCTGGCCTGCTATTTACCCATAGCTCGGGAGAGAAGTGATGATTTCGTACATTTCACAAGGGTATTAGCTCGTAAGTGTAATGAACTCGACTGGAATTCGAACTCGGTTCTCCGGTTCCTCAATCCAAAC